CCTCTAATCTGAAGGGATCTGTAGGGAGAGGCTCTCACTTCCCCAAATATGTTTCTTCCTGTGTCACAAGAAGCCTTTGGTCACCTCCTTCCCTTGTGCAACAAAAAAGCAGTTTCTGCCTCAGCTTCTTTCCCCTTACCACTTTCCTTGCCTTCTCTGTGACCAAATTCTCAGGACACAGCTCTGCTCCAGCCCCAGTTGGCTTTCTCTATCCACAGCCTCCCTCTGGCTTCCTGATCTGCACAGAATAACAAAAGACTCGGAGCCCTGAGGTCCCTCCCTTTCCCGGGTAAAACCAGCTGTCCTGGGGTGGTCCAACCCCTTTGCTTTTGATCTGCCAGCAGGAAGCAATAAAAGGCACTTTCCACGTGCCTGCTGTAACCATATTTTCCATATTCAAAAGCAGGGCTCATTACCCAAACAGGACACATGCCATTCTAAGAACTTTTTCCAGACAAAAGAAGTGAAATTGGACCATGCCAGGAAACCCAGGATGGATGGTTGCACATACCTCATGGGAAATTCTCTCCTCTGAGGGATGGCTGGAAGTGCCAACTGCTTTTGCTACAGATTCAAGGCTGTAAGTGTGACTCAGATACCAGCCACAGTAGACCCTTGGTTAACTCTTGCTCAGGTTCTGCCAGGAAGCCCGGGGCGGGGGGTGGTAGGGTGGTGAGCCGTTGTGTCCTGGAAACCCCTTTCCTTGACCTCACTTGTTTGCTTTGTCTCCCTGAAGACCCTAGTCCCATGGGGTCTTTGCAAGCCGTTTTTACCTTCAACTCAGCTATGCGTCTTTTTAAAAATATCAATCCAGCGATTTCAGTATATCCAATAAATACTATAATGACCTGTTTCACATGTCAGGCACTGGGCCGTGTACTGCTGGAGAGAAAATGGTAAAAATGCCATGCATTCCAACTCTTTTGAGTCCGTACTATGGGCACAAAATCATGCTCATACTCAGGGGAGGATCCAGTGATCCAATGAACATGTGGTTTCTACCCTTTCACACTCAACTATAATAAAAATAATCATGGTATGGTAGAATGAGAGCCATACTGGATGGCAGAGGTCTTGGGTTCAAATCTTACCTCTTCCACTTGAAGGCTATGCAGTACTGAGCAGGGTAGATTTTCAACCCCCGACTCCCTATCTATCAGTAAGGAAGTCATAATATCTGCTGGCAGTGAGGTAGGGTGCGGAATAAATGCTGGCAAGTTGTTTGTGGGGCCAACTGGCATCCTTCAAAGTCCAGTGACCCCCATTCCTGGGCTCTCTGATGTCTGCCTGTGATCCCCCAACAGATAAAGTACATTCTTTACTGAGCGTGTTTCCCCTAACAAACTAATAGCCCAGGTAATGCTCAGGCTGGCTTGTTTCAGCCCACCTTATCAGAGTCACAAACCTCCACTGCCCTTCACAGCCCTAAACCTCTTACCGCACCTGCAGCCAATCAGAGACTGGTGCACAAGCCACTCAGGCACCTTGTGACCCGACCTTATAAAAGACCCCAGTAACCAGCCCTCAGTGCTCACACAGACACCTCTCTGTTGTCTGTGACTGTGTACCCTAATAACCTACTTTCTAGTCTCATACTTTACCTTTGGTAAATTCTTTTACCAACCCGCGTGTCACTGGCTCACCGACCGGCCGCCCCGTTGTGCCCACAACATTGTTTATGTGCCTGCAACATAATAGATGCCGAGAAAAGATTTCCTTCCTTCCTTCCCTAAGGAGATTAGAGGCTAATAAATGAGAACAGGTTCTGCTGTGCTGACACACTGCAGACTGTCAGACAAGCTCAACTCGGGACGCAAGTCATGCCCAGGCTGCCTTTTGTGGTTTGTTGCCTACGGGGTAGGGAGAAACTGCCCAGACTGGCATCCTGGGGGCCTTGGCTGGTTTCCTTCCTGCCAGTCCTCTTCCAGGGTCTCCACCCGAGTCCACTTTGCCAGGAGTAAGTTTCAGGGCCTTCATCAGTCACACATGGTTAGAGCACAGAAGGAGCCAGGGGGATGAGTTACCAATGACTCTCAGCCCAGAGAAGGAGGAGAGCCCAGGAGCCCCGGAGAGGTGCTTGGTCACAGCAGGGCAGGCTAACCAGGAGAAGCAAAGAGGACACACCGAAGTATTCACCTGTGAGTGGAAATACAGTACAGAGACATTTCAGACAATATGGTTTTCATCCTAAACGAAACTGGGGAGCCAGCACCAAGTGCTCACAATTAAAAACAACAAAAAACAAAAAACCAGAAAACCACATCTGGGTGCTCGAATGCAGTAGCACTTCACTTTTCATTTGACCTTGCAACCCCGCCTAGGCTCCCAAAGACGTGAGTTTATTTGGGCCTCCCAACATCCCAGGAGTTAGCCTAACTAATTATCATTACCTAATTGTACAGAGGAAAAGACTGCAATTCAGGGAAGTTACACAACCAACCGAGATCACACCTAAGTGGCCAAGCTGTGGTTCTAAGCGAAGTTATCTGACTCTCAATCCAGATTTTTTTTTAATTCTTTTTTTGGGGGGAGATAATTAGGTTTTTAATGTTATTTTAATGGAGTACGAGGACTGAACCCAGAAATTCATGCATGCTGGGCATGCACTCTACCACTGAGCTATACCCTCCCCTCTAATCCAGACTTCTTACAGAAAACATAATGGCCTATCACTTCATGCAAGAGCATCCCCAAATTATTGTGGTGGTGGTTATCTGTTCTCCCCAATATCTGTTCTCTTTTTCTATGACTATAGAAGTTTTACTACACAGGTGACAACTCAGCTAAAACCTACATTCCCCAACTTACCTTGCAGCCATAATCATCTATGTAATTGGATGTCTGAGCCAACATGAGATAAAAGTTGAAGTGATATGTATACTCTTCTAGGCTAGCCCCTTAAAATGAAGATATGCCTTCTCCTTCTTCCTGATGATAGGGATGTAGAATGTGATGGTAGGAGCTGAGGAAGCCACTTTGAGGTGTAGCACCTCAGAACTACTCACCTGTAGTTTTATATAAGAGAGACACAAATTTAATCTATTGTATTTTGGGTCTCTTTGTTATAGCAGCCTAACATTTACTCTAACTAATGTGAGTATGTGTGTCTAATAATAGTAGTTGTGAGGAAAGAAGTCTGTGGGCTAAAAAAATTTTTTTTAAAGGACAGGAGTTAAAGCAGAGCATTCTGAAGGACATGTTACCAGTAGGTTTTGCCCGTTGCAAATCACCTGAATTATAGTCACTGGTTGAAACTCACCCTTAGGCACACAGAAGGTGCCTCCAAATTTTTGTTTTTAATTTTTAACTTTTTAAATTTTAAATTATTTGAGGGAGGTAACTAGGTTTGTTTATTTGTTTTTTAAATGGAGGTACTAGGGACTGAACCCAGGATCTCATGCACAAATTCTTATTGCATTGAAACTGAGCCAGTGATCATTCTTCCCCTCAAAATGATTTCAAATGGCATAATTCAAAGAGTACCAGAGTTAAGGTCAGAAAGTCTGAGGTCTCATTCTAGCTCTGCCTTTTCAGCCTTATACAAGTTGCTTAATCTCTCTGTGTTTGTTTCATCATCTGTAAGATGAAGATGGTTGTACCTGCCTCTTGAATCACTGTGCAGGTTGGCTTAGCACAATGCTTGGCACATAACACTTACTGCTGTCTCCTGCCCAGCCCTCTGCCTTGTCCCCCACAGAACAGCCTTATGACACGAGCATTAGACAGAGTGCCGGCCTCACTCCTGCTGCCTCTTGTCTCACCAGCCCACTGTGGAAAACATGCAGGGATGCATCAGCCCTTACCTTGGGGCCTGAATTTTGATTAGCACAGAGATAGTCCCGGAGTAATGCTGGCACAGTCCAGGAGTCTTTTTACAAACAGAGTTAATCAGTGAAACCTGGAGGGAGAGCCTCATGGCATTTGGGAAACGTGACAGTGAGGGCCATCATGTGGCTGAAGTGCTGAAATCACAATCAGAGCCTCTGGGCTCATCAGCATGACCTTTGGGGTCAGAGGTGCCTGGGCAAGAATGTCTGGTTGGTTTGAGTTCAGGGTGGCTCCAGTCTCCACCAAGATACCTGGGAAAACCTCTCTGTTGGACAGCCCAGGGACTGACATCAACCTGAACTGCTGCTGGGTATCCGGAGAAGCTTTCTTAACAAACCCAGAACAATTAGACATTGTGCAAGCAGGTAGATCAACAGTCTGCCTCCAAATCCCACAGCAAGCGTGCTTGGATATCAGCTTACAGCCCCTGGGGAGAGGTGTTGTTCCCCTGGGATGTAAACGCCTCAACCCAACCTCCAGCTAAGTTCTCAGCCCTCACTTGTCCCCATGCAGCTATTCTCGATCAGTGGACCCAAACCTCATTTGTGCGTCTGCCCCTCTGGGGACCCGCTGGACTCCCAGAGGCTGAGCTCCGGTCCCCACTTGCCCTTTCGTCAGCAGGGGCCTGTCCATCTCCTCCTAATCTAGTATGGTCAAGTGCAGGTTTGCAAGCACAGCAGGCCATCCTCCTCCCCATCTAGGCAGGGATTGGGGCTCCAGGCTGGTAGGGTATGAATCAGACCAGCCCAGGCATAGCCCTCCCTACTCTGCTTGCATTTCCCAAAGCGTATATGCAAATTTTAAGTAGTTTGGGGATGAAATGTTTATTTTACAGTCATATGTTTATTTTAATTGGTATAGAAAAAAAATAACTAGCCCAATAAAATGGTGACTTCGTGGATATTATTACTTAGGACAATGCTAAATTTTTTAAGTGAGTAAATTTAATATAGAGCTAAAAACCATGTATAGTAACTGATGGTGCAGGTGACTTGACACCAAAGTAAGTCTGATGCTGGAAAAGTGCTCTTCACTAGGCCGATTCTCCAGTTGAAAAAGAGCAACAAGATTGTTCAATTAACCCAAATACTCTTTCCAGCTAACAAGTGCAGTCTCTTGCCCGGAGGATTATTTACCTCGGAAGCTGAATTAAGACAGTCGTAGTAGTAGTTGTACTCTCTTTGGCAGCACATATACCAAAATTGAAATGACACAGAGAAGATTAGCACGGCCCCTGAGCAAGAATGACATGCGAATTTGTGAGGTGTTCCATATTTTTTTGAGACTTAAAAATACTAACTACTATATATAAAATAGATATACAGGTTTCTTCTGTATAGCACAGAGAAGTATATTCAATATCTTGTAGTAACCTATAATGAAAAAGAATATGAAAATGAATATATGTATGTGTATACATAACTGAAACATTAAGCTGTGCACCAGAAATTGACACATTGTAACTGACTATGCTTCGATCAAAAATAATTTTAAAAAGATAGCAGTAGTTTAAGCAAACCAGATTTCCATTTTAGGGAGATGATTCTGAAACCATCTGAGTTGCCAGAAAAATACAAGACACCCAATTCAATTTGAATGTTAGATTAATTATTGCATGGGACATACTTATACTGAAAATTATTCATCGATGGTTGGAAATTCCAATTTAACTGGATGTCCGTCCTGTATTTTTATTTGATAAATCTGGCAATCCTATTCTGAAAGTTTGTTATTCTCAGCTTCCCTTGGTATCCTGCATGCCAATCCTGGCAAATCCACCTTGTAGTATGTTTCAACCCCTTTCCTCCTCGTTAGTTTAGGTCTTTATCACGTTCAGCTGATGTGGTCAGGATCTCCTGACTTGTTTTTCTGGCTGCAGATGTATTGCCTCTGATTCCTTCTGCTGCCAGAGTCATCGTCCTACAATGCAATTTAACCCCTGCAAAACAGCCTCTGCCATGTTGCCCCTTCTCCCACTAAAGTCCAAACTCCTTAGCATATCCAATCCAGCCCCCGTTTTTCTCCACCAGCCCAGCCACACTGGACTTGGCCTTTCCCTCCCTACAGTGTACCCTTTCATGTATCTTCAGATTTGCTTCTGCTAACCTCACAGCCTGGAAAAGCCTGCTTTGGGCTTTCATCCTTAATCTCAGTGTCACCTCCTCAGTGAAACCTCTCCAGTGCCCCAGTTCTCCCTGCCGCTGGCAGAGGGCATCTGGAGGGCACTGGTCACATCTGTGATTTTCCACCTCAGATTTGCAGTGAAGCATCCCAGAGGAGGTTCCTGAGTGGGGTCCTCACTCAGGAGGTGTAGCAGGAGGGGTCTGGGGACCCTTGAGGCACCAGGAGCTTAGGAGAAGAAGAAAGGGACGAGTGGAAGGGTGTAAAGAAGTTTGGATGTGTGGGTGCTTCCTTCTCCTCTCCTATTTTGGTCACTATTTATTGAGCAACAGGAGCTCACTTGCCGCTGTGTGCACACAATCTCATTTAATCCTCCTGCCAGCCCTGCAGGCTCATCCTGCCGTTCTCAAATGAGGAATTGATGATAATAGAAGTTGCGTGATTTGGCCCAAATGCATAGCTCATCATAACTAAAAATAGCTAGACTTAGAACCCAAGTCTTCTTACTATAAGTCCGGTACTATTTACAGAACTCTGCAACGCACCGCCCTCCCCAACATGTCCCTTCCTCCCCTGATGCCCCCGCTATATCAGAACGAGTCTCTGAAAAACAAACCATTTTTTCTTTGTAGGCTGCAAGTTCATTATTCTGTAGATGACAGCTTCATTTGGCTTAGTATGTTGAATTGGCGATGATTAGGATTTCGCCATGAATGTTTCCAAGGGAAAAAAAAAAGGAAAAAAGAATGGATTCTTTAATTGCTACTGGGGCAAACAGTTGGCTAAACAGGCAGCTGATGCATTTTGCAAAAGGGAAAAGCAGGATGGAAGTCTAGGGTAGAACTGGAACCCTTTCTCTGACCCCTGGGCTATAGAACATTCCAGGCAGCATTTTCCTAGGAAGATATTTTTGCTTTCTGAGTCAGAAACTCAGAATGGTTTTTTTAGACCCCAAAAATATTGTTTTAAATTTCACCACCACTTAGATTTCTCTTAGAAATTCAAAACACTCCCAAGTTTTGGGGGTTTTTTTCTTTTCCTGCCTTAAAAAATTATTTTGAGAATTGAGTTATAACATCTACTACAGTGTAGAATGCGCAAAGCATGCTATTAGACGGATCCGTACACATGAGACACCAGCCCTCAGATCAAGATGTAATACGTTTCCGTTGCCTGAAAGGGTCTCTCGTGCCCTTCCCAATCAAATATCACTGCCCAGGCACAACTATTACTCTGGTGTCTATCGACCTCAATTAGTTGTACGTATTCCTGAACGTCACAACACGTATCCTTCTATGTCTGGTTTCTGCTCTGGACGATGTTTTTGTTTATTTTATTATTATTTTATTTTGATGTGGGTGGGGAGGTAATTAGGTTTAATTTATTTTTAGAGGCGGTATTGGGGATTGAACCCAAGACCTCGTGCATGCTAAGCATGTGCTCTACCGTGTGAGCTATACCCTCCCCTCAGGACGATGTTTTTGAAATTCGCCTATGTCATGTGTGTCTGTAGTTTGTTTCTTTTAATTGCTGAGTAACATTTTATTGTATGAATGATCCACAATTTATTGATCTGTCCTTTGGTATTTGGGTTGTTTCTAGTTTTGTACTGTTAAGGACAAAGCTAATGTGAACATTTTTGTACATGGTTTTTGATAGGTATATCCACTCATTTCTTTTGGGAACATCTCTAGATACGGGGTTGCTGGGTCGTGGAACTGACTCTCAAAGTTTTAAGGAAATGATATCAACTCCCCTATCATCTGAAGGAGATTGCCCTTCAGTGAACCTCTAAAGTAGATAAAGATGTATTTATTGATTTGAAAGTTTTTAGTGCTCCTTCCTCTCCTACTCCAAGTCCAGTCCAGATACCCAGTCAACCTGAGTCTGTTCACTGTTTTCCCATTATTATGGAAATTTATAAGGACACGCAAACCCAGAGAGAATCGTGCTGTGAATTCCCACATGCCCACACCCAGTTTCAACAGTGATCAATACCTTCCCAAGCCTGCCTCATCTATCTTCCTAATCGATTTTTTTTTCTGGAATATTTTAAAGAAAATTCTGGACCTAGCATAGTTTTAGTTCAAAGGGGCTTCTGCCTCTCCCGTCGCCACTTCTCAGCCCAATTTTGCGGTTTATAATCCTAGAATCTCCATGTGGGGAACTGCAGAAGTCAAGCAGTTTGAACCTATCAGAACGTGGATGCCCTGTGACATCCCTCTAAGTGATTGCTGAGATTGGCTTGTGATCTCCGCTACTGGAGGACACGCTCCTTCTTAAGAGAAAGCACAGCTGGAAGGCTAGTTGTTATAAAGGTGTTCTCTTTGTTGACGCCAAATCTGCTTTTTAAGAAATTTTAACTCAGACATAGCCCTGGGCTTTTAAGTAAACCCAGAGGAGGGGCAGGTAATTTATGGTTAGGCATATCGAAGTGTTTATACTTTTACTTTTTGTTTTTTCTCTCTTAGTTTTAATTGTGGTAAACACACACATACTATAAAATTTCCCCTCTTAACCATTTTTAAGTGTTCAGTTCAGAAGTGTTAACTATAGTCACGTTGTGCAGCAGATCTCTAGAACTTTTTCATCTTGCAAAACGGAAGCTCTATACCCATCAAATAACAACGCTCTTTTTCCGCTTCCCCCAGCCCCTGGCAACCACAATTCTACTTTCTGTTTCCATGAATTTGACTACTCTAGCTATCTCACATAAATGGAATCATACGTCGTTTGTCCTTTTGTGACTGGCTTATTCCTCTCAGCAAAATGTCCTTAAAGTTCACACATGTTGTAGCAGGTGAACAGGACCTCCTTCTTTCTTAAGGCTGAATATTATTCCAGTGTGTTTGGGTGGTGTGTGTACGTTTTCTTTATCCATTCGTTTGTCAGTGGACATCAGGGCTGCTTCCACCTCTTGGCTATTGTGAATAATGCTACAGTGAACGTGGGTGGCCAAATACTTCTCCGAGACCTTGCTTTAAATTCTTTTGGGTCCCCAGAAGTGGGATTGCTAGATCATATAGTAATTCCATTTTTAGTTTTTTGAGGAAACTCCATACTGTTTTGCCTAGTGGCTATACCATTTTACATTCCCACCAGCAGTGCAGAAGGGTTCCAATTTCTCCACATCCTTGTCAACACTTATTTTCTAGTTTTTGTTTTTGTTTTTTGTTTTTTATAGTGGCCATCCTAATGGGTATGAGGTGATGTCCCATTGTGGTTTTAACTTGCATTTCTCTAATGATTAGTGATGTTAAGTATCTTTTCATATGCATGGTGGCCATTTGTATGTGTCCTTTGAGAAATATCTATTTAGTTCCTTTGCCTATTTTTAAATTAGGTCATTTGGTTTTTTGTTGTTGAGGTATAGGAGTTCTGTATATATTCTGTATGTTAACTCCTTATCAGGTATATGATTTGCTATTTTTCCCTCCTTCCATAGATTGCCTTTCACTCTGTTGATTGTTTCCTTTAACGTGCTGAAGTTTTAGAGTTTAATGTAGGCCCACTTGTCTGTTTCCACTCTTGTTGCCTGTGCTTTTGGCATTATATCCAAGAAATCATTGCCAAATCCAGTGTCATGAAGATTTCCCCCTATGTTTTCTTCTAGGAGTTTTATAGTTTTAAGTCTTATGTTTGGGTCTTTAATCCATTTTGAGTTAATTTTTGTATATGGAGTAAGTTAAGGGTCTAACATCAATCATTTGCATGTGAATATCCAAACACCATTTGTTGAAGAGACTGTCCCTTCCCCATTGTGTGGTCTTGGCATCCTGTTGAAGATATTTGACCATAAATGGGCTCTCTGTTCTGTCCTGTTCCATTGGTCTGTGTGTCTGTCTTTATGCCAGTGGCTCATTGTAGCTTTGTAATATGTTTTGAAGCCATGAAGTGTAAGGCCTCCAACTTCATTCTTCCTTTTCAAGATTTTTTTGGCAATTTGGGGCCCTTGAAATTCCATATGAATTTGGGGATTTTTTTTTCCTATTTCTGAAATGCCATTGGGATTTTAAAAGGGATTGCATTGAATCTGTAGCTAGCTTTGTTAGCATGAACATTCTAACAATATTAAGTCTTCCAATGCATGAACACATAATGCCTTTCCATTTATTTGTGTCTGCTTTAGTTTCTTTCAGATGTTTTGTAGTTTTCATT